TCCTAGTCTTCTCTTCATCTCTCTGACTGTTCTGTTTCCTTCTCTAGTTCTTCTTCACAAAAGTAGGAGTGAGTTTGTTTTTGTTTAAAATTTCAAGTATAATAGACATAAAAAAAAAAAATTAACCTTCAGATGCCTAAGCTGATGGAGGAGCAAAATATACATATATATATATCCATGTGTGTGTGTGTGTGTGTGTGTGTGTGTGTGTGTGTGTATTATCTCAAGTAACAGATCTGTGCTGCTGGAGAACAAGAAGATAAAGTGCATCCTGAAGTTCAATCACCACGTGGATCTGGACATTAGCTAGTAGAAGTCATAACTCAAGCTATATTATTATTTGATGAAGACCTGACACATAAATGATTGAACTTTGAGTAGCTGCCAGTGGGAAAAACTTATCTTTGGCTAGTGAGAAATTCTTAATGCAAGAAAGCTGTTACTAGGAATCGTATTTGAGGTGATGATGGAAAATACCATCAGATGACAAAAACGTAAATGATTAGGACGGAGACAATTTAGACTGGCAAGGACTGAGGTACTAGTTGAATGTTTCAACAATTTTCTCAGAAAGAGGATTAGAATTAATTATAATTTGATCATATTATTTATGGTTACTGCACTTATTCCAAAACTACAAGGACAAACATGTACTGAGTAAATTATCTAGTGCCAGGAATTGTTCTAGTTGTTGAAGACGTACAAGTGAACAAAATAAATCAAAATCCTGCCCTGAATTATAACCCACATATTACATTTCAGCTGATCATTTTGATGTGAAATAAAAAGTGTAGATATAAAAAAGTATTAAAAAATAATTTATTATTAGATGTATTGCAAAGATACAGATAAATTTCTAAGGAAAAAAAGAAAAATTATTTTATGGATTAATTTCACAAATTTTGGTGAGGAATATCTATAAAGAATCTGGAGCCATAACATGCTTTATGTGCTACTCAGTAGTTCGTGTGCTTGAAATTGTGGGAAAAGCATTGGTTTTCCTTAAATATTTTATAAATAGTTATTTCCCCAAGGAATGGATCAGATGACTTTCATGGAGAGCTGGTAATCAATTGTAGTAAGTCAAGTTAGATGAAAGCTTCAAAGGAGGCCACTGGAATACGAGGCCATTGGCAGAGCGTCAGACTTGGTGAGCTATTCCAGCAGTGTGGCAGCTGGAGCAAATGATGGGGTGAGTCCAACTTGCCAGTGGGAATATAACAAATTAGTTAACTACTGCACAAGTTCTTCAAATATATTTCATCAAAGTTTGAAATTCTTAAATTAGAGATCTGATGATATTGATTTATGTAATACATATTTATTGAGTAACACTACACAGAGTCACAATGCCAAAAAGAGTTGGTTGATGTTCAACCATTTCAAGAGGTAGCACATGATCAGGAACCAGTGGTGCAGAAGGAAGAAGTCCAAGCTGCACTGAAGGCTTTGGAAAAAAACAGGGTTCCAGGAATTGATGGAATACCAACTGAGATTTTTCAGTAAATGGATGCAGCGCTGGAAGTGCTCACTCATCTATGGCCAACTGACTGGGAGACATCCATATTTATACCTATTCCAAAGAAAGGTGATCCAACCGAATATGGAAATTATCAAACAATATGATTAATATCACATGCAAGTAAAATTTGGCTGAAGATCGTTCAAAAGTGGTTGCAGCAGTATATCAACAGGGAACTGCCAGAAATTCAAGCTGGATTCGGAAGAGGATGTGGAACCTGGGATGTCATTGCTGATGTCAGATGGATCCTGGCAGAAAGCAGAGAATACCAGAAAGATATTTACCTGTGTTCTATTGACTATACAGAAGCGTTCAACTGTGTGGATCATAAAAAATTATGGATAACATTGTGAAGAATGCTTAATTGTGCTCATGAGGAACCTGTAATAAATCAAGAGGCAGTCGTTTAACAGAACAAGGGGATACTGTGTGGTTCAAAGTATGATGAGCAAATAATTCGAGAAGCTGGACTATATGAAGAACACAGCATCAGGATTGGAGGAAGACTTATTAACAACTGCGTTACGCAGATGACACAACCTAGCTTGTTGAAAGTGAAGAGGATTTGAAACACTTACTGATGAAGATCAAAGAACACAGCCTTCAGTATGGACTACACCTCAAAAAAAGAAAACAAAAATCCTCACAACTGGACCAATAAGCAACATCATGGTAAATGGGGAAAAGATTGAAGTTGTCAAGGATTTCATTTTAGTTGGATACACAGTCAACACTCATGGAAGCAGCAGTCAAGAAATCAAAAGACGCATTGCATTGGGAATGTCTGCTGCAAAAGGCCTCTTTAAAGTGTTAAGCAAAAATGTCACCTTGAAGACTAAGGTGCGCCTGACTCAAGCCATGATGTTTTCAATCACCTCACATGCATGTGAAAGCTGGACAATGAATAAGGAAGACCAAAGAAGAATTGATGTCTTTGAATTATGGTGTTGGCAAAGAATACTGACTATACCATGGACTGCCAAAAGAAGGAACAATCTGTCCTGGAAGAAGTAGAGCCAGAATACTCCTTAAAAGCAAGAATGGCAAGACTGTCTCACAAATTTTGGACATGTTATCAGGATGGATCAATCCCTGGAGAAGGACATCATGCTTAGTAAAGTAGAGGGTCAGTGAAAAAGAAGACCCTCAATGACAGGGATTGACACAGTGGCTGCAACAATGGGCTGAAGCATAACAACGATCATGAGGACGGCGCAGGACTGTGTAGTGTTTCTCTTCTACATAGTGTTGCTATGAGTTGGAACTAGTTCAACGGCACCTAACAACGTTATACTTATAACTGCTAGTAGTTATGCAATGTAACATAAAATTTTACAACGCCAATTTTACTTGTAATTTTTTTCTAAGATTTTCTAATTAATGTTGTTAATATTAGAATACTTTAGGAAAAATTTCACACCTGAAATTCAAGATCCTTTCTGACAACATGTTCTTATAAACAGACTCATGAGTGAGTGAAATATTAGAATGTAGGGGGTATACATGTTTGCATTCAATTCTCTGTTAGGAGAACCAAATAATTTTTTCATCCACCTTTATTTAAAAAATGTTTATTTGGAAAATATATACCAATATTTTAAAGTGTAATTGTAACATACGAGTTGTTATCAATGTATAATAAAATTTAGTTAATTTTTCAATCGTAAGTACTGAACAACTGAAAAGTTATATAAAATAATCTTATTACATTTTTATATGTCAGAGACCATAGACAATGCATATGGTGTTAAAGATAGAAAGATAAATAAGAAAAGGATCCTGTTGCCAAGACCGAGGAATTCACAACCTTGTAAAAATATAGATCTATAAATTAATAATTACAAAGAGTAAAGAAGTATTAGGAGGCCCTGGGTGTTGCAAATGGCTGAGTGCTAGACTACTCGCTGAAAGGTTGGCAGTTCGAATTCACCCAGAGGCAGCTTAGAAGAGAGGCCTGGTGATCTGCTTCCGAAAGGCCATAGGCATGAAAACCCTATGGAGCAGTTCTACTCAGCACACATGGGGTCGCCATGAGTTTGAATTGACTCTACAGCAACTAACAACAACAAAGAAGTAATAGGAGATATAGACATAATTCATATGATTTTTCTATCAATGTAAATGAAAGAAATGTGCACTTTTCTGGGCAGTCAGGAAAAGTTGGGTTAAATTATTTCTCCTGATTCCTGCCACAAGACATGCCTCTGATGCGGAGAATCCTGTCTATTTAATGTTGTAGCCAAATCTCCTAGAACAACACCTGACCTGTAGTAGGTGCTCAATAGGTGAGAGGAAGGGAAGGAAGATGGACCATTGTTAGAATTAATTCTTCATCTGATGACAGTTTATTTGGTTTGTGTGATATAATATCTTAGAAAATAGGAAGCAGAGCTTCTCATATGTTTTCCTTGTGAAATTAATTTCTTCTGCACTTTTCTCAAACCCTGTCTAAACTATTGAAATTAAAACTGGATCCTAGGTTGCCATTTTTGTTTCCAAAGATTATCTATTGATTTAAAAAAAAAAAAACAACCCTCTTCTTTCTAAAGAGGAGGGTGATTGAATTATTTTTGTATTCCAAAGTAAGTTCACTCAAACTTGAATAAAGTGTTTAGAACTTTAGGTGATTTCTGTCATCTGCTTGGTCTTTAATTTCAACTTTGAGTTTTGGTTTTTCTCATTTTAGAGCCACCACATCTATTTTCTTTCTTTACACTTTCAACAATATTCTAATTTCCTGTTTATATGTGCTGTAAAGAAATTGGTATTGCTTATTGTAGAATGGAATTTAAAGCTAGAAAGAAACTTTGGCGATATCTGTTGTAACACCCTCACTTCAATGTGAAAGAATAAAGCTGTGGGAATGGAACATCCTTACGGAGGTTCGCACAGTGTAAGGTGGAGCTAAAACTCGCGGTCTGGTCGCCTGAATCCCACTGTAGTGTCTTTTGAACTCTATCTTACGTATCCACATGAAACTAAATGTATATACAGACCCTCTTTGAGTCAGAATGGGATTTGAAGTGGACAACTTTGATATTGGAGCCCTGGTGGCTCAATGGTTAAGAGCTCAGCTGCTAATCAAAAGGTCAGCAGTTCGAATCCACCAGCTGCTCCTTGGAAACCCTATGGGGCAGTGTTCTACTCTGTCCTATAGTGTCTCTATGAGTCAGAATCGACTCGACAGCAATGGGTTTGGTTAATTTGCTATTGACCTTGACAATAGTGATATCATCAATTAGATCACTCAGTGAATGGCAATGCCATTGGAAATAGACTGCTCACATGGATACTAGTGGTAAAGTTCAATGTAACTTCACAAGCACCATACAAGTGTACTGGCAGCTGAGTAAAACCTACTTGCCAACATATTGAGTTCATGAACCACTTTTGATCATAATCAATTAACAGCTTACTTTAAGTTCCATGTTAATATTATATGTTATAGAAAAATAATACTGTTTCTGTGCATTTCTAGCTAGAACATGTGGATCCAATCTACGTGGACCCAGTGGCATCATTACGTCCCCCAATTACCCGGTACAATATGAAGACAACGCGCACTGTGTCTGGGTTATCACTACCACGGATCCAGACAAGGTAAGGCTTTCACAGCCCACCTCTGTGTAGTTTGTTTAATCAACACACTGACTCAGTCAACTGTTGAATACGAACAACCAGGGAAATGTCATGCATCCTTAGATTTTTTTGTTGCATTTAAACTTGTTCATTCTGTGTTACATGCACTTATGTCCACATTTATCTGAAAGCGTTTCTGGAACTCCGGTATGAAGTTAGCTTTCTCATTGTGGCCTCTTCCTACTGGTTTTATAGGTTATGCTCATGTGCTTCCTTCATGTAATTTAACAGCTTTCATATATTTTGCATCTTTCTCAACACAGGTCTCTGATACTATGTCGGAAGCTTTCTTAAATATCACAGAATTTCTGTGCAGTACTACAGAATGTTAGAAATTCTAAACTATTGACTTTTCAGATCTAGGAGCAGAAAAGTTCTGATTTTGGATTCAATCAAATGTCTATCACAGATGCCTTTTGCTTTCTATTTGTATATTATACTTCTAAAGTCACAGTTTTAATTTATGTTAAAATAGAAGCTTTGATAAATGGAAGTGGGTGAAAAAAGTAAGAGTGCTATAGACTTTCATCTTAAAAACTTGAGTTACTGTGGGCGGACCATTGCTGTGATAAAAGGCTTCGTTTTGTGTTTATACTGTCTCTATTTGCTACAGCTGTGTAATGTACTGGAATATCAACTGTACTGATCCAAACCATATATTTTCTGTATATGTTATTAAGTGATTTACTTATTCAAATGTTTATGAAGGACTAACTCTATGCCAGGCTCTGTATCAGCTCTGTAGATACCAGTTCTACCACTTAGTATCTATGTGAACTTGGGGAAGTTAATTCACTTTCATGGACCAGAGATTCTCCTTCTGTAAGGAGATAATAGAAGTACTTACCTTAGAGGTTTGTTGTGAAGAATAAATCAATCAGATATGTGCCTAAGTAAGTGCTAGAAGCTATTAGTACTAGCAGTGGTGATGTAAACAAACATGGGATAAATAGAATAAAACATGTTAAGAATTTGATAACTATTTGATTATGTTTGTTTGATCTCTATCAAACTAAATACAAAATGGGAAATTTAGAAAGTCCTGAAGTTTAAAAAGTAGAACTTCAGGGAAGACATTCTGTAACAACTGGGTTGATTTCTTTTGGGGATATATTAGGTGTTCAATTTAGTTAATGGTAAATAGATTGCACTCATATCCGAGGGGATCCAAACAAAAAAAAATGGTTCATATTATAGGAATAGAGATTTCACTGGGGCAAAAAGTGTCTAATTGCACCATGTCTTAGTTATCTAGTGCTGCTATAACAGAAATACCACAAGTGGACGGGTTAACAAGGAGAAATTTATTCTCTCACAGTCTAGGAGGCTAGAAGTCCTAATTTAGGGTGTTAGCTCCAGGGCTAGGCTTTCTCTCTCCGTCAGCTCCAGGGGAAGGCCCTTGCCATCAATCTTCCCTTTGTCTAGGAGCTTCTCAGCGCAGGAACCTCGGGTCCAAAGGAAGTACTCTGCTCCTGGCTCTGCTTTCTTGGTAGTATGAGGTCCCCATGTCTCTTTGCTTGCTTCTGTCTTTTATATCTTAAAAGAGATTGTCTTAAGACACAATCTAGTCTTATAGATTGAGTTCTGCCTCATTAACATTACTGCTTTAATCCTACCTCATTAACATCATAGAGGTGGGATTTACAACGCATAGGAAAATCACATCAGATCACAAAATGGTGAAAAATCACACAATACTGGAAATCTTGGCCTAGCCAAGTTGACACATATCCTTGGGGGATACAATTCCATCCATGACACACCATTTATAAAATAGTGAATTACTTTACTTTGACTACTTGGAAGGATGGAGAACCTCTTTTCTTGGATGTTTATTAAAAAAAAAAAGACTAGCTAAAAGAATTGTTTAGATGAAATCAGGGGAATGGATTAGTTAACTTCACTGTGCTGCTTGCGCTTCTGTGAAAATACATGAATTTGTCACAAGGGGGGGAACACTGTAGGAAAGTGAAGTTACATGAATTTAAAGAAGTCACTGTGGATCAATACAGCAAAATTCCAACTATCCCGACTCTGACTCCATGTTATTACTTTGAAACAAAAACTTTTTGTGCCACACCTTACACCATCTTGGACACTCTTTTATTCCAACCCTTGCTGCTGCAAAATGTCATCAACCACCTTAGCTGTCCCTGAAATCTCTAACTTTCTGCTCTCATAGCTCTGTCACACACCGCTTGGGAAGCCTTCAGGAATTCTCCTAGTCATTTGGCACACGCCTAAACTTGGAGTGTGAGGGAGTTAACACCTTAGGGGCAACCCCTAACCAGTGCAGATCTGGTCAATAAATACTGCTTTCTTTTGTGTATCAGGCACAAAATTCTGAAGTGCCATCATCAGAGCTCTGTAGAGTGTCCTCAGCAGGACTAAGCCAAGTGCTCACAGGGAAGCCAGCTCAGTTATCAAATCTATGGTTGGGCTTTCTCTCCATCCCTTTGTCTCACTTCCCCTGCAATCACTTCCCAATGAGTAGCATCAAGCAAGTTCTTTTCTCACGTCCTGCTTTTGGGAAGAGCCCATGATAAGATAAACACTAACTTTAGCATAATCTATCTTCTCATATAAGCCTTCCATGTTGAGAAGAAGAAAATATACATTGATAGCTTTAAAGAAGCTGAGGTAGGAGGCAGAGTTTGGAATCTACTACAATGTTCTAAGTGAGTGTGGTGTGATGGATCACTATTATATGGTCTTTCTTGCCATGGTCTTGTAATTCCCACCCAGGTGATTGGGTGGGACTATACAAATAAGGTAATTGTGGCCCACCAAGGGGATTGGATAGCTTGCTAATAATGCAAATGAAGTTCATGTCACCCAAGTGAGGTGGGACCATGCAAATAAGATGTATGGAACCCTAACGAAGGGATTTGTCAGTTGTACCATTATGCTAGGCTTAAAATGAGCCGTCCCAGAGGTGGGAAGAGAGGACTTCACCACCACTGAGGAGGAAGAGCCAGGAGCTGGGATCTCACTGCTGAGACCCTTCTAGACCCAGGAGACAGAGAAAGAGCTGTAACACCAAAGATGGCAAGACGGCAAGAAGCGAGGAAGAGAAATCGCAGCAGCAGAGGCAGCAGTACCAGAAGACTGGCAGGAGATGGTGTGGTGGGCTTCCTAGCCCATGGAGTAAGAAAGCTGAGCACTTTCAGGCAGGAAGCTTGCTGGTGGAGTAGGGTGCCTCTGGACAGTTGGTGGACCTAGGTTTGCCAAACCATTGAGCGAAAGCCGAGCACCTTTGGGTGGAGGCTCACTGGCAGAGTAGGGTGCCTCCAGGCACTTACTGGAGGAGCTAAAAGAGCTTTGTAACACTTGCCCAAGCAGGGCAGATGCTGAGGGGCCAGAGACAGGCATGCCTGTGGACACAGCTGAGAAGAAGCTGTCGTGATGGAAAAATTGTATCCAGAGCATTCCTGAACCTGAATTGTAACCTGTTACTTCCCTACTAAACTCCATAACTGTGAGTATGATCTGTGAGTTCTGTGTGGCCATTGCAATGAATTACCAAACCTTGCAGAGAAGTAGTGAATGCTGTGGGAAGGACGGCTGGTGTCAGAATTCGTAAAGATGTCGGAACTGGACTGTTGATCTTTATTCTTCTCCTTCGTGAAGTTAGAGGAGGTCAGATGCCGCCCCCACGCCATTTTTACAGGGAGAAATGATGAGGTTTGAAGTAGAACAGGTGCGGTACAAGTATAAAGGACAAATTAGTGTCAGCGTTGTCTAAGATTATACATCTTGGCAACATTTGGTGACTGTTGGAATGTGGAGAGTGAGGGAGAGGGAGGAACAGGCAGGGACTCTTGTTCCTCTTGTTTAGCATTATTTCCCACGTGACTTTGCACCTTAGCTGGTATCTAGTAGACATTGTGATTGGTGAGAAAGAGGAGGAATCAAGAATGACTTTGACAGTGAACAAAGAAGTCAAAGAAGCAAAGAGCAAAGAGTGAGGACATGTTCCAGACTTCCCAGAAGTCCCAGCCTACATTTGTTGCCCTTGCACAAGTATTAATAATGCCTTTCTTTTATTCTCAAATTGGTTCCAGTTTGGAACAATAGGTTAACCAGGGAAAGGACCTTTGGAACTAATTTTTGATGAGAGGAGATTTGGTTTTGATCATAGTGATGGCTGCCTGATGTATATCCAAGTAGACATATTTGTTAGAGGTAGATTTGGAATCCACAAGTCTGTTGTTAGCTGTTGCAGCCAGGGATTTGGATGGCATATGGAGAAGCAGAATAGAGTCAAAGAGGGTGAAGCTAATGGCATTATCTTTCTCTCAGTGTCAACTGGAGGGTGGATTTGGTATCAGTCATAATGAGAGTGATATTACAATCACAAGTTTCGTGTAAAGAGTTTTAAAATGCTCAACTACCTTTACAGTGAAGTAAAATACCCATAGTGTTCCAAAAGGGAAGGCATTGATTCAAAGCTACATCTTCAGGGAATTTGATTAACACTCTTACAATATTTTCAGAATTGATTTAAACCCAAGTCATCTACGAATAATTATAAATATTGTTCCCGTACTACACTAACGATATGTATAAATATCTGCATTTCCGTTTCTTTTCTCTAGTATTTCCTCTTCCTGTTCCTGTTGCCATCAGTTTGATTCCAACTCATAGCGACCCTATAGGACAGAGTAGAACTGCCCCACAGAGTTTCCAAGGAGCAGCTGGTGGATTTGAACTGCCCACCTTTTGGTTAGCAGCCGTAGCTCTTAACCACTTTGCAACCAGGCTCCAGTATTTCCTCTAGTGTTCCTCTAATACTAGAATAATTCACATTTCTATCCAGGAGGAAGTTTTGAGTTCCTATGTTCTAAACCTTTTACTCGACAGATAAGGAAACCAAGATACGGAGAAGTTAAAAACAACTTTTCTCAGATTGCAGACATGTTCTCCTAGTTTAGGACAAGAACATAAGTGTTCTTTTCATT